TTTGATAATAAGCTTTTTAGAAGGATCACAGGATGCTGAAGAAAGTGGCATGTAAAAATAAAATACTTTTCGGCACACCCATGTTGTTTTCTTAGAAATCAACATTATTTTTTAAACTTCTGCATTTTTATCGCAAAAAGAAATGTTTAACAGGATCATAGAATGTAGAAAGTGGTTGGAGAAAGAATAGAAAAAAATAATGAATGGAAAAACCATGAAAATACTGTATAAAATACGAATACTTTATTTTTCATCGATTTATTTAATGCGTCTCGAAACGCATCGGACTAAATATATTTACAGACGTATTTATGGAACAATATTGTTTTTTTTTTTATTTTTTTTTCTTTTTTTCTTTTACGTTTTATATACTCATAGTTGCAACTAATATTTTATTTTAATGTTTTTTCGTTTTTTCTTTTTTTTTGTTCTCGTTAAAAAGTAAATTTTACGTGCTAGAAAAATTTAAAAAAAAAAAACAAAATAATAAAATTGTAAGTGTCAAGTTTATTATTCTTATATCTCGTTCGATTTATTATCGTTTTTTCGAAGAGTTGAAACTATATATATATATATACATACATATATAGTCGTTATATGTGTGCGTATTATTCCGAGCGAAGTTTATGGGGGTCTGAGGTATATCAGTGGTACTCTATTGCGCTTTTCGTTTTTATCTTTTCGTATATCAACAGTTATACTTTTAAAATCGCATATTTCGTCTTAATTACGTGTTTAACGATACACGATATAATTATTATATAATATAATATAATATAATATAATATAATATAATATAATATAATAATATATAATAATATATAATAGTAATAATGATAATAATAATAATAGAAATGTGGTTGTTTGTGCATTAACATTAAATGCACCTGCAATGTTTCGTTTCTTGCCACAATCTTTTTTATTTCGCTCTGTAATCATAAACAAAAATTTTTAATAATAATAATAATAATAATAATAATAATAATAATAGTAATAATAATTATTTATATATATATATGTACATATAATATCAATCCAAAAAATTATATTTGAGTGCAGCCGACATGTGCAATCAACAAAAATGGATGAAGAAAAATTAAATAAAAACGGGAGGATTAACACGATTACAATATTAATAGAAAAAAAAAAATAAGTATACGCACTGATATGTGCATGATTAATTATTTACAAATAAAAATATGAATAAATGTATTATATTCTCTTTTATATTTTCTATTATAATTTGTTTTGAATACACACTATTGTTTAACACTTCTTTTTTTTTTACTAATTAATTTCTAATCAGCTCTCTCCCCGTCTATGATTTATTTTGTTTTTCTTATATTTTTTTTTATTCGTTTTTTCTTTTTTTTTTACGACGCGCGCACTTAATGTTAATAATAATTATTAAACAACAAGGTACATGAATATAAAAGCGTATTATTTTCTTTTTCTTTGTTTTTGCATTGCTTTATGTTTTTTTGTTGTTGTTTCACACTCTTATAATTAATTAATTATTATTATTATTATTATTATCATCATCATTATCGTTATCATTATTATTATATAATCATAATGGAAAAAGAAAATAATATAAATGATTTGTCTTGCGAATGGGCTTGTTGAATAACTTCATTTTTGTTTTATAATTATTTGTTTGTTTTGTTATATTAATATTATTTTATATAACGCATCGCACGTATTGCGTGTCTACGTCGTGTTAGAAGAATTTAGAAACAAAAATTCGTGGCTTTCGTTATTTCAATTAGCGAATGAAATGTTTGTATCTGTAATCGTACGATTAAAAAATTGATGCCACGAATTTGTTCAAATTCTTCTCGTGTCTGTATGTATGTGTGCGTGTGTTTGATGTATTACGTGTTTACTTTTAATTAACTTGGTCAAGGACACTCTCTTATATTAATCGATTTCTTTATTAGAATTGTACTAGGATTTGGTTATCGATAATATAATATATACATATATATGTATGTATGTGTAATGTGCGTGCATATATATGTGCGCATTATTTAACACATTTCATATATTTCATTTCTCATTTATGTTATTTATTTCTTTCGTGGCACTTTAATGTTTCCTTAATTCTTTTTTATATTTTTATTTTTTAATTTAAGGCCAAATGTTTCTTTCTTTTTTTTTTTTTTTCCTTATTTCTTTTCTTTTTTTTATTATTTTTTTTCATTTGACACTTTTATTTTAATAGTTTTATATTATATATATATATTTAATTTTATTAAATTTGTGTTATTTTTTTTATATCAGCTGTTTTAATTTTATTTATACTTTGGACTTATATTTAAGTACTAATTTATATTCAAAAGGCTACTACGCAAAGATTGGAAATTTTTGTTTAATTTCTTTTCGTTTTTTTTTTCTTCATTTTTTGTTTTTGTTGATCTCTATTTGTCAAATCTTTGTAGAAATTGTGTTGAAGGCACTAAATTCCTCGATCTTTTTCTTTTTTTTTCATTTGCGTTGGCCACGTTATATATTTTTTTCTTTTTTCTTTTTTTTTTTCCTTTGTTAATTATCCATTCCACTTCGATCTTATTAATATCTTACATTTCTAAGCGTACGTGTCGCTTTTTTTTCCTTTTTCTTTTTTTTTTTTTCTCTAAATGTTTCTTTGCATTTATCTATTATTTTTAAATTAATTACATATTTACAAAAAGAAATGCGACTACGAAAAAAAAAAAAAAAATAAGGGAAAAAATCAAAAATAATAAAACAATTAACCCATATGCGAATTTATTGTACGGTGTTGTACGGCCGTTAAATGTTTCTTTCATTTTATTTTATTTCATTTCCCGTTTCAAATTCGCTTTGCTATTTCATAAAATAAAAATTAAACAAAATTCAAATGATAAACAAAACTTTAATCAATGGTAATTCGTACAATTTCATATTAATTTTTTCAATTTGTAACAACGATTGTTTGAATTTCGCGTGATTTTACTTGGAATCTTAATTTCACGTACAAATATTACTGCCATTTTGTTCTGCACTTATTCTTACTTTTGTTTTTTTTGTTTTTTTCTTTACACACACTAGGCATTCGTTGTAAATTAATTTTAACTCTATCTCACAACCATACGCACAAACAAACAAACAAACACACACAACAAACACGCGTATGCATTCAATCTTGTTTTTTTTTTTCTATTATATAGTTTATATTTTGTTTTTGTGTTTTTTTTAATATAAATGTGCGGGATTGGCACAACCGCTGATAGGAACCGGGTGGTGGAACAAGCGAATAATAATAATAATAATCGCGCGTCGCCATATTTAAACTTTCTATGGATTCTGCTATATATGTATACTGCGTGTTTATTAATTTTATTCTAGCAATTTAAAACAAAAAAGGAAATAAAAAAAAAAAAAAGGACAAAAATCTTTGACGTTGAACTCGGTGAGAATAAATTTTTGTATAACGTTTTAATCCTTTTTTCTTTTATCTTTTTATCTTATTCACACAGATATTTATATATTCGCTTATTAATTAATTATTATTATTTATTATATTAATAAATATAATAT